GCGCCCGCGTGTGCCGGGCGCAGGAGCGAGCGGGGCACGGGCAGCTGGCGCAACTGGGTGGCGTGTTGGTGCTGGCCGGGAGCAACCGCTCCGGGGCCGCCTCCGGGGAGGCCGGCGAGGGCGTGGGGGTCTCCGACGCGCCCCCGACCCGGGCGCCCACGCCAGACTTCTGCCGGGGCTACTTCGATGTCATGGGCCAGTGGGACCCGCCGTTCAACTGCAGCTCGGGCGACTTCATCTTCTGCTGCGGGACTTGTGGCTTCCGGTTCTGCTGCACGTTTAAGAAGCGGCGACTGAACCAGAGCACCTGCACCAACTACGACACGCCGCTCTGGCTCAACACGGGCAAGCCCCCGGCGCGCAAGGACGACCCCCTGCACGACCCCACCAAGGACAAGACCAACCTGATCGTCTACATCATCTGCGGGGTGGTGGCCGTCATGGTGCTCGTGGGCATCTTCACCAAGCTGGGGCTGGAGAAAGCGCACCGGCCCCAAAGGGAGCACATGACCAGGTGGGCCGCCTCTCCCTTTGCCCTCCCTTCTCCAGCCCACCCCCTACCTCCAGGCAATTGCACCCCGCACGGGCGCAGCCTCTTCGCTGGGTGCTGCCCCAGGGAGCCAACTTCGGCCCGGCCCGTGGAGAGGGGGCGCTGAGCTCGGCGCCCAGCAGCTGTGGGTCTGCGCGCCTCTGTTGGTGGGCTCTCGGTCCCCGTCGCCCACTGGCCGCCCCCTCTCGCCCAAATCTTAGGTGACCTGAGATCCAGAGCCTGGGCCCCGCTGGCCCGGGAGTCTCGGGGAGGGGGGGGCAGGAAGGGGCTGGAAGCGCCCCTGGCTCCAGACGCTCGCGGGTGGGGAGCCAGGGGCCCGCCGAGCCCGGGCGGGAAGGGGGCGTGTGTGAACCCGCGCTCGCGTGCTCTGGAGGCTGGCGGAGTGTGCGCCGCCTGCTCCTCGCACGGCTCCTCGCGAAAAGGAGGCGAGGGAGGCGGAGAGGGAGGGAGGCCGAGAACAAAAGCCTCGCTTCCCCCGAGCTGCGAGGGTCCCTGGCGTTCTGGGAAAGCGAGAGCTCGGGCTCGCCGCCCCAGGACCCCCTGGTCCCTTTCTCCCGCCACCAAGTCTCCGGACCCGGCTCCCCGGGTAGAGGACGCAGAGCGCGGTGCCTGGGGCCGGAGTCCCTCCCCGCGAGCCCTCACTCCCCGGGCGCCCTGATTCGTCAACTTTTCCGTTTGCCTCATTCCTTATGCAAGTTCCAGCTTCGGCGAGTCGCAGCAGCAGATGGGTGAAGGCATTTGGGGATTAATGGAGCTATTTGCCTTTTTTTTTTT